GTGTATGTGTGTATCTGTCTGTCTGTATGTACATGTATGTATATGTCCCTTTCCATCACAGGGGTATTACAAAGAGTAATTTATTATTTTTATTATTCATTTATTATTTGTATTTTAGTAGTGCCCTAAGAGCCCCAATCATTGACCAGGGCTCCATCATTCTACGTGCTGTACAAACACAGAACAAAAATATGCCCGAAAGAATTAGAGCTTTAAAGAGTTTTGAGATCCCCAGATAGACCATATATAAATATACAATGTATTATTAGTCTGTGTCACACAGGGGGAGCCCAAACCAAAACCCACATTCCAAACTAACTCCCCTTATAAGACCCTATTGTCACTTGCTTATATCTTTGTGAAATTTTAACCATTTGGACTGAAATTTTCCATGCCAGGTGTCTTCCTCAGCCTGAATTTCTTTGGCAAATTTCAGCCAACTGTTTCTGAGAACAAGGCTAATGAAGAATACATTGTTTTGAGATGTTAAAAAATTCTTCAGACCTTTTCTTTGAAATGCTCTAGCTCCTCTATGCTTTGGAGCAGGGACTTGAAATTTGCCAGCAGAGTGGGCTGTGTGTCTGGGACATGCCTTTTGCCACCCCCATGAAAATCCACCCACATTTTGCAAAGTTATAAACCTTTGAATATGTGCAGTTCACAGGTGCTCAGTAGAGACTTCTTTGATTTTAACAGCTAAAATCTGACTTTGCAACTTTAATTATGTTTGTAATGTAGCATGTGTGTGTATAATATGAATAGTAGTGTTGGGAAAATATGACTTATGCAGAGGAAAAAATTATTTCTATACTGTGTTGAAATATAACGAGAAGTCCGATAGCACCTTAAAGACTAACAGATTTATTTGGGCATAAGCTTTCGTGGGTAAAAAAACGCACTTCTTCAGACGCATGTGAAAACTACAGATACAAGCATAATTATACTGGCACATGAAGAGAAGGGAGTTGAAGGTGCTGAAGTATTTTTTTCACAATACTCAGCAGAAGTAGTACTTCATTTAATAAGAAACTAATAAACACAGAATCATAGTAATGTTAGGCTGGAAGAGACCTCGAGAGGTCATCTAGTCAATCCCCTCACCCCGCCCCCCAGCTGAGGCAGAACCAACTATATGTAGCTAGACCATCCCTGACAGATGTTTGTCTAACCTGTTATTAAAAATCTCCAATGATGGGGATTCCACAACCTCCCATGGAAGTCTATTCCAGTGCTTAACTACCCTTATAGTTGGAAAGTTTTCCCCAATATCTACCCTAAATCTGCCTTGCTGCAGATTAAGCTGATTATATACTAAGCAGCCTGTGGATTCGAGTTTTCTGAAAATTTCCACTTGCTATTTCCTGTCTCTAAGGCCTAAATTGTGCTTCTTCAGTCTGCCCTGTCTAGTGGTGGTACTGCCGCAGTAATAGCGCAAGGAAGGAATCGTGTCCCAAAACAGTTAAGGTTCCTTCCCACCTTTCCTGTGTTTTTTAGGGAGGTGGATAGTAATCTGCTACTGGTCTTGATCAGTCGCACATTGCTAACCCTCCCTGCAGTTGAGCTGCACTGGCCATAGCATAGAGTCCAGGATTCCTCCACTCAAGGGGAGTAGCAGGTGGGAAGTGCATATTTACATCTGTGTGTCTGGACCCAAGGGCAGGGCTTTATGCTGACAAGCCAAACTATTTTTGATGTTGGTAAAGATTAGTCTAAAGATGGCAACAAATTCTGTATCTAATGTATTTGGAATGGATCAGGTTGTAAATTCTTTGGAGCAGGAACCATGTCTTCTTAGGGACCTGAAAGCAAGATCCCTCAGCTGGGCTTTTCCTTCTCCACTGATGATTCCCAGTTTGTAGAGTTTTACTGGGAAACTTCCCCAGCCAGGCTGAATTAGCCCCCCAGCTCCCTAGGTGAGACCAGTCATCACATGCTCAGCTCTGCTCTTTCTGCTAGTTCAGGGCTGCTGCCTGCTGTGAGTGTGTCTGGATGCTGGGCTAGAAGACTACAGTTTGGATTTTAGTACAGTTGTGTAATCTGCACCTTGAGCCCTGCACCCCTTTGTGGTGAGGGAAAATCCTGGGACCGAAGCAGCCTGATTCCTGCCTGAAGAGGATCCCTGCCAGCAGAAATCAGCCCCTCTTTAGCAACTGAGGAATCCAGAGTCATCTCTGAACTTGAGGATCATTCATGGAGTTTGTGAGTGCACCATCTTTTAATCCGTCAGGGAATTTGTTTTCGGGACCCCCTACTCACTGAACTGTGTCCTCAAGCCAGGGAGTAAGGGTTTGGGGGTTTTATAACCTGCTGCATATTAAACCTGTGGAGGGATTTACCACCTTCTCCCACTTGCGAGTCCTTTGGGCTGTACTGAACCCAGTCAGCCACACTGCTAAACCACTGCAGAGAAGAATTTTGTGGTCATAGGTCATCAAGGGCCCCAACAAAATATGTGTACCAACAGGACACTAATCTTACATTTGCTACATCAAGTCACGTGACTGGGGAAAGTCACAGGTATTAGCAGCGTGGGCACCAGTGAACCTAAAAATAGTGTTTTACCCTGTTATGTTATATTTGTCTCCTGTTTAATATAATTATCGTGTTGAATATATTGCACGTGTTTGTGTTATTTCTTGGAAGTCTCCAACTATCTGGCAAGTAAATGGGATTACCCTGTGATTAGAATTTTCCTCCCAAGCTGCTCTGGTGACCCTGCCAGGAAGAAGCAAGGGGGGTGGAGCCACCACCAAATAAATTCATAGGAAAAAATAAAGAAGATACACCCTGCTGAGTGGGTGGCGGGACCCAGAAGAACCCAGACCTGTCCATCAAAACCTGTAAGCAGGTTGGCATTAAAGAAGGTAACCGGGTGGAGAGGGTATGCTAGACTTGTGTTATTTGTTTATATTCATCCTTTGTAATTTGACCTAGTTTCCACTTCTTGTAGGACTCTTTTCTGATTTTTAGATCATTTGTTAAGCCAGGGTGGTCTCCTGCCATACTTCCTATCTTTCCTACACAGTGGGATAGTTTGCTCTTGTGCCCTTAATATCTCTCTGAAAAACTGCCAACTGTCTTCAATTGTTTTTCCCCTTAGACTTGCTTCCCATGGGATCTTATCTACCAACTCCCTGAGTTTGCTAAAGTCTGCCTTCTTGAAATCCATTGTCTTTATTTTGCTGTTTTTCCTCCTACCATTCCTTAAACTCATGAACTCTACCCTTTCATGATCACTTTCACCCAAGCTGCCTTCCACTTTCAAATTCTCAACCAGTTCCTCCCTATTGTCAAAATCAAGTCTAGAACAGCCTCTCCTCTAGTAGCTTTCTCCACCTTCTGAAATCAAAAATTGTCTCCAATACATTCCAAGAACTTCTGTGCCCTGCTGTGTTATTTTCCCAACAGATGTCTAAGTAGTTGAAGTCCTGCATCACCACTAACTCCTGTGCTTTGGATGATTTTGTTAGTTGTTTAAAAAAAGCCTCATGCACCTCTTCTTCCTGATTAGGTTACTTGACTAATCATAATGGAGAACTGATTTAACATGGAGCCAAGTACCTATGGCAGTAGCAGGGCAGGCAGAGAGTTAGATTATGCTGGACAAACATGGGCTAACAGGCACAATCCCTCCCCCAGCTCCCAGGCATACAGGGGCAATTCACATGCTGCATCTTACTTTTGGGTGATTGCAGCCTGCACCCCACAGCACTCCCAGCTAGCTCTATGAGATGGCATGGAGAAAGGGCCATGGCCATGGTCCTGACTCTTCCTCATCCCCTCTGTAGAAACTCTTGGCGTGCAAGGAGGATGCAGTCTTTGAGCTCCTCCAAGCATCGGAAGGACACTGGTGAGTCTAGATCTTCTGCATGGTGCATAACTGGGTTGGGGAAGGCTCCTTGTGCCTCTCCCCACCACTCCCTATTCATACTCTACCCAGAGGCAGTCTGGTCCAGAGGTGAGATAATGCAGAAACTGTTCTGATGTGAGCCTGGGCTAGATGAGGGATTAATATTCCACCAGCAGAAAAATAGGGAAGACACATTCACCTTGAAACCTCTAGCTATTCCAGTATTTTAACTTGTACATGTACATTTAGGCTTTTCCTTTTTAATCAGCAGATTCTTACAGTATATAAGTATATACATTTTTATGAGTCATGAATCATGACATTTAATTTTCTTCATCAACATTAGTGGGTATTTGTTTATAACAATGGGCCTGAGCTTATCTAGTACTAGACAAATTTTATATTACAAAATGATTGCTGAGCATAGGAAGGTGTGTTCATTTGCATTTAAATTCACTTTCAAAACAGTGAAATCCTGCCACCTTCTGGACAGTAACCAAACCAAGAGACATTTCTTATAGTCAGCCTTAAAGGATGCTGGAAAAAAGTACCCTCTACTGATGACGAACATTCATTGCTCTTTTTCACCACATTTTAAAAATTAAGTGTTAGGCTGTATAAAAATAATTGTTCTTATTAATCCACAGGCAAAACAATCATATTAAGTATTAAAGGGCTTCCCCGCTCACTAGTAATAGCTAACCAAGTTGCAAACAACTTTAAAATGTTCAATTCTTAATCTTTTCTGATAGTCACTTTGCTGCTCATGTTTATACTTTCAGGTCTGCTACCAAAACATAACAGAATTTCTATCCACTCAGTGTAAATAGCTTATTAACTGTTCAATAAAAATCCCTATATTAGCAGTACTAGTGATAAATGCATTAAATGAATATATATAAAAACAAAGTCAAATGGGACAGAGAAAGATAGTGTGGTTTTCATGTTATGGTTGAATAAAATAAGTTATAAAGGCACAAGTGGGAAGATTATTTCTCCATTCATATGGCATGCAGCACTTAATACAAATAAAATTGCTAATGCATGTAGGTGATCATCTGAAGTAATAAATGTCTGAAAATTAAGCATTTTAAATTGTGCTTCCAGGACTAGTCAGAGGAAGGCTGCAGAATAATGCAATGCACAGTACCTTATTTTGGCTACAAAGTCTAGCTGTTCTTGTGCTTGGATGAGATCAGCCAGCTGTTTTTGCAGAGACATATCCTTACCATGGGCTTGTCTAATAAATGGATGCTCTAAAAGGTGGGTGACTGAAGGACGCTTTTCAAAATCCTTAATAAGACACCTGCGGAAATAGAGCAATAGCATTACACATACAGTACATGCTGTTTGATAACAAAATCATTTAATTTGACTTGAACATTAAACTGTTGACTTATTCTCTGGCAGTTCTGTCACAGAAACCAGATTGCTTTTTCTACTTATTAGTATTATTAATTATATGAGAGGACCACATTCACTTTTCATTTACAGTGGTGTAAATCTGGAATAACATTACTTAACTCAATGGAGTTACTTAACACTTATAACACTGGTGTAACAGAGCAGAACTTGGACCAGTAAACATATGTCAATCTTTTAAAAAAGAGTAAACAGCATAAAGTACAGGTTTGCAGCTTTACTATAGTCTTGTTTGAAGTATCCATTCAAAGTAGTTTTCATCTGAGAACAAAGAGTAAAGTCCTGGAGTAATTAATTTCCTACATATTATCCAATGGGAATTCTGACTGAGTGAGGACTGCAGGATTTAGCCCCAAAAAATAAATGAGTAAGTGAACACTGGTCAGAACAATTTGATGCCAAGTTTTTAATAAACTAAGAATGTTTTCAATGGGCTCTTACATGCTATGGTGATGGGTATTAGTATAAGAACCTTGACAGGTAAATTAGTAAACCTACTTAATATAGATCAGACTAGACACAAATGACTCAGACTTAAATGCTAACTAGGATGGGCAAGTTCAATCGCTGACAGGGTCAGGTGATCTCGTAATGAGCAAACAGACAGAGCTTATGAAATTAACATGGAATAATGCTTAACTAATAAATATCATAGCATACTGTCAAAGATCTAAAATCTAGGAAGCCATGATAAGAAGTATAATTCAGTGCCAGTACAGTAAAGCTGGAATAATATGTTCCAAATAGAGAAATGCATTTAAACTATCAGATTTTTTTCAAAACTGTCCTTTAATTTCTTTTTGTATTAGTTTGTTCAATTTTATTTAGTTCAGTAATTATACTGTGATTATAACCTTTTGATCATTTGAGAATCAGCAAAGGAAAAACTATATTACAGTATATATGGCAATCCTAGCATATATCTATCATTTCAGGGAACTCCTACTGGACTCCAGTGCAAGATGAGATTGTCTGAATAGATGCTTTAAAATTAAAATGTTTTACACTTCATATTTACCAATGTTTCATGAAGCAATTACACTAAATATACATTTAAAGAAGTCTTTCCTTTACATGAGAAAATTTGTCAAGCAGAGGATACCATTTTACACAAAAAGTGCAATGAAACTTTCATACCTTTTATAGCGCTCAATACTCTACCAATAGCAATCCGCAGACTTTAAAATTATATCTAGAACATTATACATTTTAGTTTATTACAAAATGCACTAGCAAATTATTAAAGCTCAGCCTCACCTTGAATATTTTCTAGAACATTAAAGCCTGGTTCCCAGAATAATCCTGCAACATCTGTCTTTCAAAATAATTTTAATAATTGTGGTTCATCGGGACCATTTTCACAGCCCTTCTCGTTGACCTTCATCTAGTCCAGAAAAGACAGCCTGTAAAATGTTCTGTCAGTTTTACAATTGGTCAGGGGAGTTTTGCTATCTGTTAGAACTGGAGCTTCCTGATAGACAAACTAAACCAACAGAACCTACATTATCTCCATTCCTCTGACTGCGGAGCTATAAATACCACTCCTGTCCTGCCATGAAAAGAAATCAATCATTTGTCTTTTACATGTTCTGAGTCCTTTTTGGTTTGTTTTGGGGTTTTTTGTTTTTTATCCGTGATTTTTAAAAGTGAATGCACTCACATATAAAATATTGGGCATGTCAATCTCCATTTAAATGTATACCCTTCTCTTTTGTGTGTGTGAGTTGTGTAAAAGGAGAGCGAATATTATAATGAAAATAGAGAAAAACACAAAACAAGCAGGTATTCAAAGTCTCATATTCCTTATTTAATAGAACTAGTGACTAACTTTATTTCAAATGTCTACCATGGGGAATTGGTACTGAAAAGTTTATATTGAATTCATTTGAAGTTTACCACCCTTGACGATACTAGGTTCAAAGACAACATTCCAATTGTTTTAAGGCAATAGGGTTAGAGTGAAGTCTGCACAAGAAATGGGACAGCTAAAGTGCTGTTAAAAGCACTAATAGCATGGAAACTTTTTATCTTACTGTCTTGCAGACACTAGGACAAATTCTGCTCTGAGTTACACCACTGGAAGTCTACAGAAACTCTGCTGACTAGGCCTAGAGCCGCTGATAGATAGTCTTACATGTAGGGATGGCCCAGGGCTGAAGCATCCAACTGTCCATGGTACTGCATGTAGTATATTATAAAATTACCGACACTATACTGTGGTTTTGTCACGGATTCTGGTAAATGTCACAAAAATATAGTAAAAAATAGAAGTTAGAGGCATTGTTTTGTTCTCCCATTTTTAATGCAATTAAAAAGCACAATGCTTAACACAATTATTATTAACAACAACAAGGTGGACAGAACATAAGGCAGGATAGAGAACTATCAGGTTAAAAATATTTAGATAAGTTAGATGTATTCAAGTTGGCAGGGCCTGACAAAATTCATCCTAGGGTATTTAAGAAACTAGCTGAAGCAATCTGGAAACCATTAGCGATTATCCCCGAGACCTCATGGAGGACAGGTGAGATCCAAGAGGACTGGAGAAGGGAAAATAGAGTGCCTATCTTTAAAAGGGGCACAAAGACTACTGAAGGAATTTCCAGTCAGCCTATATTCAATACCGGGGAAGATATTGCAACAAATTATTAAGCAATCAATTTGTGAGCACCTAGAGAATAACAGGGTAATAAGTAAAAGCCTACATGGATTTGTCAAGAACAAATCATGCTAGACCAACCTAATTTCCTTCTCTGGCAGGGCTACTGGCCTAGTGAATACGGGGGAAGCACTAGATGTGCAATGTCTTGATCTAAGTAAGGCTTTTGACATGACATTCTCAAAGCAAACTACGGAAATGTGGTCTAGATGAAATTACTATAATACGAGTGCACAACTGGTTGACAGACCAGACTGAAAGTGTAAGTATCAATGGTTCACCGTCAAACTGGGAGGATGTTTTTAGTGGGATCCTGCAGGGGGTTTGTCCTGAGTCCTGAATCCAGTGCTATTCAACATTTTCATTAATGACTTGGATACTGGAATGGAGAGTATGTATAAAATGTGGGGATAACACGAAGCTGGGAGCAGTTGCAAGGAATTTGGAGGACAGGATTAGAATTCAAAATGACCTTGGCAAATTGGAGAATTAGTCTGAAATCAACAAGTAAAGATCAGTACACAGCACTATACTTTGGAAGAAAAATATCAAATGAACAAAGACAAAATGAGGTATAACTGGCTAGACAGTAGTACAGCAGAAAAGAATCTGGGTGTTATAGTGGATCAGAAATTGAATATGAGCCAACAATGTGATGAAGTTGCAGAAAAGTCAAATATTCTGGAATGTTAGACACAGGAGCTAATTGTCCCACTCTACTTAGCACTGATGAGAGCTTGGCTGAGATGCTGTGTCCAGTTCTGGGCACCACACTTTAAGAAAGATGTGGACAAATTGGGGAGAATCTAGAGGAGAGCATCAAAAATGAAAAGAGGTTTAGACAACCTGACCTAAGAAAAAAAGTCAGAACCTGGGCATGTTTAATCTTGAGAAAAGAAGATTCAGGGGTAACAAATAGTAACAGTCTTCAGATATCTTAAGAGCCGTTATAAAGAGGCTGGTGATCAATTGTCCTCCATGTCCACTGAAGGAAGGACAAGAACTAATCAGATTAACTTGCAGCAATGGAGATTTGGGTTAGATATTAGGAAAAACTTTATAAGGATAGTTAAGTACCAGAATAAGTTACTAAGGGAGGTTGTGAAATCCCTGTCATTGGAGGTTTTTAAGAACAGCTTAGACAAACACCTGGCAGGGATGGCTTAGGTATACTTAGTCCTGCCTCAGTGCAGGGGGATAGATTAGATAATCTCAAGGTCCCACACAGCCCTACATTTCTATTATTCTATGGATTTAGATGCTCCCATAGGGGAGAGAATAGTCAGAAAAATGTATAAAGCTCTGGAGCCAATTCTCCCAGATGGGGTCCTGAAATTCATGGTAGAAATGTCAGAAATGACAGACACATTTTGGAGACACCACACCATCTTTGTAAACCAACTCCACTCTTTAAAGAATATTTTTTAAATGATCATTTTGGGTGAAATTCCAGGCCCACTGAAGTCAATGGGAGTTTTGCTAATGGAGCTGGGATTTCACCTTTTGTGTTCAAAGGTCCCACCTTGGTCCAGATTCCCTCTGAGACACCAGGATCCCAATGCCTGCCTTTCTTCTTGCCTCCTAATAAGCAGGGGAGGGCAGAGTCACCACTAGCACATCACATAGGCTGACCTATAAAAATCCCCCACCCGGAGGAAGCAACCTAGAACTGCAGTGAAAGCAGCAACAGTATGATCAAAAAAAGAAAAGGAGTACTTGTGGCACCTTACAGACTAACCAATTTATTTGAGCATGAGCTTTCGTGAGCTACAGCTCACTTCATCAGATGATCAAAGACACACTTCACTGTCCCATGAACCATGTCCTCACCCTCCAAAGTCAACAGGACTTACCTCACAGAATACTCAGTTTCTGCAGGTAAAAGAGGGATGGTGAGGAAGAAAAGGAACAACTTGACATGGGATAAATTGTAGGCAAGTTGCTGGAGAAAGGGTCATAAATAATGTGACATGACTGGGAACAATCATTATTGGAGGCTGTATTTAGCAAGAATTTTAGTGTATGTTAAACACTCTTCCCCTCTCCTTTGTCTCTTTTTTGTCTATTTAGACTGCAAGCAGTTGAGCTGGGACCTATTTTATTGTTTATCCATAAGTTTTGTAGAGAGAGTGGCTTGAAGCTTGTATGGTAGCTGGAAGTTTTCAGGGACTCTTTACTGAGAGGTTGACTTTTACGAGAGGGGTCAGTTGTTAGATTTTAGTGTT